CTGCGCTGACTAACAGGACTGTTTTCTGATGTTTTGGAAACACCTCGGTGCCTGGTCTGTGTAAGGCAGGCGGTCCCTGTGGCTCCCAGCCCACGCTCCCCGACTCCCTGCCCACCTTCCCTGCCAGTGCCCGTCGCAGCCCACTCCTGCGCTGCACGCATGGGGACAGCAACGTATGTGATGCAAACGTTGGGAGAAGCAGCCGGAGCCGCTCCAGGCTCGAACTATCCCATAGCAGATCTGTGGTACCTGGCCTCAGCCCGTTCCTTTATCGGGAGCACCCGGCCTGCCCCAGCCTAAAAACCTAAATATTAAGTAAGGAATCATGCGGCACTTCTGGATTTTACTGAGGGGAAAGATCAGAAGAGAAAACATTTTGACCAAAGGTAAATATATAATTTTCTTCTTGGTCAAAATTACTTTTATCTGCAGAAGCTTGATGGAAAGCAGTGGCCAGCTGCCTGAGCCCTGAGATGGCCATGCGGATGTCAGATGCGCCACCAGAGCTGAGCACCCCAACTGCTGGCCCCTTCCTCTGTTTCGGGGGTAATTCGGCTGATCTTTCAGCTGGGCCACCAGCACCGGCACGGTGCGGGGCACATGCCCACATTGTGCCCTTACCCGTCCACCCACTGCCGACAGCCCCCAGCGCCTTTCCCCACTGTCACCTTCTTGGCAGGGAGCTGGGGTGGGTGAGCAGCCGTGGTGGCCAGAGCAGGCTCACTCCTGCGCCCCGGGGTCGGAGGCGGCCCTGGCAGGACGGCCGGCTGAAGCTCTTCCCGCGCTGCCTGTGGCACCAGCCACATCATTTGGCTCCGAGCCCGTCTTTCCCTTCCTCCCCAAAGGCATTTTTACAGCCATGGCCAAGCTCTTTGGCCGCTGCGGGGTGGCAGGCAGGAGCCCTCAGCCCCGCTGCTGATGAGAAACCCATATCCAGTGGCCGCTGGAGCTCCCACCCTTCCTCCCCAGCCGCCCTTGGGATGCAGCACGGCTCCCGCCTGGAGGGGAAATCCTCCCCCTCGCCTCCCGCGGGGCTCAGAGCCGGCTGGGCCGCCCCGCATCCCTGCTGTGGCAAGAGGATTTGGGGTGCAGGCTCCCCAAACACCACCTCTTTCTCCCTGCATCCCAGTGGGGGTTTCTTCTGACCCCCCTCGCTCTCTGCCCCCAGCCCGGCACATTGTGTCCCATCGCCAGTGCTTCACCCCAGCCTCTCCCTCAGCCTTCAGCGCTTCCAGCAAAATTCCTTTCTGGCCAGTCATTGCCGCCCCTCGGCCTCGACGTCTCTGGGGCTGGTGCGCTGGCGGGGCCGGGCTTCCTCTTCCTGAGCTGTCCCGGCCCCCGTCGCGTTCCCAGCCCTCTCCTCGCCGTCGCCCAGTGCCATGGCATCGGCCCTTCCCTAGGGACACGAGGGCCCGGGGTCTGCCAGCAGAGCCCACCTCGGGGTTCGGGTGCCCAGCTCCCCTCGCCCTCCCCGGTGGAGCCCCATCCCGTGTGCCCCCCGTGCCGTCCTGGCCCCACCACCCCCAGTGATTTTTTGCGAGCGGATGATTTACAGCCCCAGTTAACGCCAGGAGCGTGCAGAGGGCGACTGCGGTGAATCGCTCGCTGCGAGGCAGCGGGGAGGAGTGGGAGGCAGCAGCTGCTGCAGGGGGCTCAGCCCCGAGGAGGTGTGAGGTCTCCTGACAGCATCGTCTGCCCTGACACACTGCTGCTCCCGCTCGCCTCCCGGCACCCACCCCAACTCGGGGCTCACCCAGGCACACACCCAGCACCCCCTGGAGCTGGACCCCATGCTGACACCCACAGCACCCAGTGGGAACATCTCCCCTACACACAGCCAGCACCCGCTTGCTCACTGCATATGCCGGTGCTCAGCCCAGCACCCACTCGCCTCAGCTTCCCATGGTGCACTGCCTCTTGTTATTAATTAAAGGGTGAATGCTTTGCTTTTCCACAGTCCCCTTCACCTGTGGCTCTCTGAACATTGTGCAAATATTAATTACTGGTAATTAATTAAATCAGGCCTCCCCGTCCCCCTGTGGAGATGCTGTCTCATAAACATGCTGATAGCATAGCATCAGGGCAGGCTCTCCGAGCTGGGTGGGAGCTTCCAGTTACCTGTTGCTAACGATGCAAACCCCGCCTGCAGCAGTTTGTACCTGATTGACCTTCCTGGAGGGCTAATGGGCTGGGAGAGTGATAGGTGTGAAACTAGCGGGACCTGGTCTGATCCCAGTAAGGACTGATGGATGGATCTTTATAAATGCCCCTGGGTGTCCTGTTCCTTGCAGCTTGTGCTCCTGGAAACTTGGTTCTGGGTTGTTGCTGGTGTATGTGGTGCCTGGGGCTGCCTGGGTGGGGGTCCCAAGCAGAGCTTGCTTTGTGTCAGCCCTGAGCCTGCCCGGGGGGGGGCTGTGCCCTGTTACCTGCACTGGTGTTGAGCTGCCATCCCTGTCCCTCCGAGGTAGATGGGGATTATCTCCCGTCAGCCTCCCTCTCCTGAAGGGCTTAAAGCGTTTCGGAGGCAGCATACAGGTTCAGCGCTCCCTGTCCGGCTGCTCCTCGGTGAGGGCTGGGACGCTGGGCAGGAAGGCAAACGAGGCTGCTGACCCTCCTGCGGCGGAAGGTGGGTGCTCTGGGAACGAAGGAGGGGGCTTGCTCGGGGATGTGCAGCAGGAACCTGCAGGTTGCTTGCTGCAGCATGGCTTGGGGGATCTCTTGGGCAAGGTCCCTCTGCCCTCCCAGGGCACACAGCTCCTCCGCGCAGCCTTGGGTGTTGTTTGGGGGCACCATCTCTCCCCCCACTGGGTCACAAGCTCCCTTGCTTGCGTATGGCTGCTGCTGTCTGTCCCTAAGTCTGCGCAGGGCACCGATCCCTGACCAGAGGTGCCACCTTAATCCGGATCAGTGGGAAATCTGCTGCATGCCCACGCAGCCCTGCGCGGCAGCTCGCTGCCTGGCTGTGGCCACAGCAGCTCCTTGGACTCAGCTGGGACGTGGGGGCAGCCCCACAGGTTCCCACCCCGGGGCAGCCTTCTGTGATGCATCGTGGAGCACAAATGCATTAACTGGGGAGCGAAGCCAGCTTAATTTCCTGCTCTACCAGCAAAAGCGGGAGCAAACTGGGGTGAGATTAAGGCATTCCTTGGGCAGCTCCCACCCCCTCACCCTGACTGCTGTATCTTGGCCTGCGAGGCAGCTAATGCTACTTACATTATTACTGGATTATTTTGGTGTAATGAGCTTTGCCCTGCTCAGCTGTCCCCCTGCGCAGGGTGTTGCGATGTGTAATACTTCCTGCGCGAGGCCACGAGGCGGGCAGCTGCCGGCTCAAAAACAAGCAGAGCCCCAGCAAAACAATGCATTAATGTTCCTGGAGCAAAATTCCAGCATGGGCCGGAGGTTAATCACAAATCAGGGAGCTTTCGGCTTAGTGCTGAACAAAGCCAGCAGGCGGGAGGGTGATGGTGCCCTAAGCCGGGTCCTGACCCGTCTCCATGGGTACAAACAGGAGTGACTGTATTGGTTTCATCTCTGCCAGCGGCGTAACACAGCTATGAGCATCTCTTCCATCCTCGGCTCCTTCTCCTCTGCCTTCCCTCCCGTCAGACCTGCCAGTGCAGGGCTTGGCGATGGGTTGCTATGGACACCAAGAAGTTTCCCCTAGAGACCAGCAGCCCGGCATAAGTGATGCCTGCATTTTCTGACATTGATATTTTTTTTTCTTCCCCTTTTTTTATTATTAATGTTTGTTTAAGTGTTGATTAATTTCCAGCCTTTCACCCCACCTCCCTCCTGCTTTTCTCTCCGAGCTTTGTGGATTGCCGTGGCTGTGTCCCAGGGCTTGGCTCCTGCTTCGTTCTCGGCAAGGGTGCGAGCACAGGGCGCGTGGGAGGAAGCTTCAGCGCTGTAACTCCTGCTCTGCTGGAGACCCCTACAGAAGAGATCCCCCATTTATTCCAGCCTCGGGAGATCCTGCTGGGGTCAGGCCTGGGTCCCCTTGGGCTGCTGCAGCGTTCATGGGTGCCCAGCAGCAGCAGCCGCCCCAGGAGGTCCTGGACCCCTCTTCCCAGGGCGTGCGCCTGCCTGCAAAACATGCCTGCAGAAGCATGGGTGGGGGCACCCTGCTCGCTTTACAGGTGTCCCTCATCATAGTTGGGGCCTCAAAGTGATTTCGATCTAGACTAGTTAGTGTCTTTGCTGGTCTGAGCTCCAGGCCTGGCTCCCAGTTTATAGCAGCTCTCTTGGCACCGCAGCACCCTTCAGTACCTCACGTGCTGCTGTTGGCCTCTTGGCCTGCAGGAGCACGGTCGGGAGGGAAGTCCCAGCAACTCTTGGGCGTTCACGTCAAGGCTGGAGCCTGAGCTTTGCTGGGGGACACTTGTAGGAAAACCCCTCGGCTTTCCTTGCAGCCCTCCGGCCGGACTTGGCAAGGCAGCGGGTCCCCAGCAGCCCCATAGCCCCAGGGGCCGGAGCGGCGGTCAGGGAGGGCCAGCCCGTTCTCCCGGTGCTGAGCAGTGCTGCACGTCCGTAGAGCATGTCTCTGGGCGCTTGGCGTATGGGACGGGATTTTACTGTGAGACAGCGTCAATGTCATTTTGACTTCTCTTTCTTTGCTTTTGAAGCCAATAACGGGCTGTTTCTGTTCCCCGTCACATGAGCTGCCCCACGGTGAGCGAGGAGCCTCTCTGACGAGTGATCTGCTCTGTCCCCTGCCCTTCCTCCCCGCTCCGGAGGGAGTTCACGTACCAGGTTTCAATCAGCTGCTTCTCTTGTTCCTGGGAATGCAGTTCAGCACTGGGTCAGAAAGTCTCTGGTCCATTGAAATCCTGCCCTTTGCTGCTCGAGTTGCCGAAATTGCATCTCCCTCTCTGAACTCCCACAGCAAACGAGTCCGTTGCTGCTTGGCCCCTGCCTGCAGCAGCTGGCATGGTGTCAGCCAGCCCAGGGCTCCTGCGAGCGGCCTGTGCACTTGCAGGTGGGGCAGGGAAAGCAGGATCTGCTCTTTAAAATGTTTTCTGTGTGTGTTTGGGGATTGTGCTGAGACAGCAGAAAGACCCCCTGCTCTGTACGGTTCCTCCCCTGGAGCCTGGGGCGAGGCTGCAGAGCATCAGCCCTTCGTGGTGGTCCGCAGAGCTGCCGGGGGGGCTGAGGAGTGGAGGTGGGTCCCAGGACCGTCTGCAGCAGGAGCAGGCCAGTTCTTGCCCATAGCTCTGGGGGAGCCATGTTGCCCTCCCCTCCTCTGCGGCCCCCGGCTCAGCGCAGAGCCTGCACGCGCCACGGTGCCGCTCCGGAAGGAGCAGCGGGGCTGGGATGCTGCTCCTCGCCGAGGAGGTGAGAGTCCCACCAGGGCCAAACACTCAATTGCTGTGATGTTTGAAAGCTCCTTGAAAAATTACTTCTTCATCCAGTTCCGAACCAAACAAGTGGAAGCTCCAAAAAACAACAGTTCCTTCCCATGCTGCTGCCAAACGAGTGCTCGCTGGCGCGTCTCTGAGCAGGCCAGCAGCAAGCGAGGACTGCCCGAGGGCTGAGCAGAGCCGGTGGGCAGCTGGTCCCTGCGTTGTCTTTCTGCACCTGCTTAGGAAATAGGAGAGCCTCCAGGGAGCTCTGCATGGCTGTGGGGCGATGGTGCAGGTGACCTGGTTGTCCATGCAGGGACAGGGAGCAGTGCCTGGACACTTGCACCGCACAGCACTTAGGACTGCAGACCTGTGAGCCAGATGGGGGTAGTGGCTCTTTTGTGGGGACATGGAAATCCCGAATCCAGACAGGGATGTGCACCCAGCTCAGAGTCACCGGGTGCTGTCACAGGCTCGGCTGTCCTTTGCCCTTAGCGATGGCCTGATGTCCGGCTGCTGTGTCGCAGTTGCCCGAGGGCTCTTCTGCAGCCGCTGGGCTGAGGTCAGTGCTGTGACGCCCGGCTGCGTCCTGAATGCTAACAGACCCTTCCCCTCTCTTGCTTTTCCCTCCCTCCTTTCTGCCAGCAGTTCCCTATCAGCAAAACCCCTACACCCCTGGGAGCAGCTCCACCGTCATCCAGTGCTACCGCTGCGGGGACACCTGCAAGGGAGAGGTGGTGCGCGTCCAGAGCAATCACTTCCACATCCGCTGCTTCACCTGCCAAGGTAGGACGGTGCCGCCCGAAGAGCTGGTGGCCAGGCTGCCCTGCAGCCCTGGATGCAGTCTGGGAAGCAAAAGGCTGGGCGCAGACCTACTTGGCCCCCTGAGATGTGGTCACACACCCCGGGGATGGCAGCTTCCCGCAGGGGTGGATGTGGCGCGGCACAGGCGGGGAGGCAACGGCGCAGGGCTGGCGCAGCGCAGGCAATGCCCCTGCGTGATGCCAGAGCTGGCAGGCTGTGAACAGGGGTGGCCAAGACCTGGGCACCGTTACTACCCTCAAGCTGCCTCAATGCCAACAGCCCACTCTGCGCCGGTCCCAAACGTACCCACGGCCCATCTGTGATCTCGAGGGGCCACCGTGTCCTTCAGCCTGCCCCCAAATCGGGAGGAGGAGGAGGAGGAGGAGGTGTTGCCAGCCTGGCTGAGAGGCAGCGAGGCGGGGGAGATGCCCGGAGCAGCTCCTGCCAGGGCTGGGGGCAGGTGACGGATCGCTGCCACCCACACGTGGGATGCAACCGGGGTGCTGTGGGATGCTGTGTGCCGCAGCTGGGGCTCGACAGCCCCCAGGGGCTGGCAGAAATAGAGGAGAGAGGTTGCTTGAATCTTCCCTGAGCGCAAGAGGGGAGCTGTGGAGCTGTAAAAGCTAACAGCCCAGAGCTGCTGCTGAAGGGCTCCTTAGCATGTTTATTAAAGCAGCCGCTCTCAACCAGGCCGGTGGCCGCTTCTGTAGGTTGTAAAGCATCCCATTACCAGGGCTTTTAAAAGGTCTCTGATCTTCCAAGCTCCCAGCACCTTGTGCTGAGCAGGACATAAATCCCTGTCCCCTTGGCCATGCTTTGCTGCTCCTCCCCCGGCTGGAGGGGACTCTTCCCCTGGGCTGTCCCCACCGCTGCTGCAGCCTTGTCCCCCACGGCCTGGGCAGCCCCGGGCCATGGGAGCGCCCTCGGGGCTGGCCTGGGTGCTCGGGGCGCTGTGCCGAGCCCCTTCCAGCGGGAGCTGTGCGTCCGAGGAGCTCAGACAGCCCTGGCTTCAAAGGGGCTGGGAGCTGGCAGGGAGAGCTTGCCAGTGCGCGCTGCCTGATGTCCAAGTGAAAGGGAATAAATAACGAGAGGAAATCCTCCCGTCTCACCTTCCCTCACAGCTCTTACCCCCGCCATCTCAGGCGGGCTGCTGCCGGCCCCCGCGCCAGCCCCACGGCTTGTCCCCGACGCATCCCTGGGAGCCTGGCGCGGCTGCTGCAGCCCCTGGGGATGCGCGCCAGTCCCACACCAAATGGGGCCCAGACCTGCCTCCGTTTTTCTTGCTTCTGCTTCCCGATACTGTCCCGGAGCTGGTGGTCTGTCCCTTGTCACTGATGAGGAAATGCTGGCAGGCTGTTTTGGAGAGCAGCGGGTGCTGGCCCTGTACCCCCGGCTGTCTGCCCACAGCGCCGGGGAGCAGCTTTGCAGGGGATGCTCTGCCCCCGCGGGCCCTGCAGCCAGCGGCTCCAGCTGTGCCCTGGGGAGGGTGGCTGCTGCGCGGGCTGGCCCATGGGCGCAGGTGAGGTGTGCGGGGACAGGACAGAGGGGTGCTTGGGGGCGAAGGGTAAAAGCAGAGACCAAGATGGGCTGTGCCATTGGGTGCTCAGTTGCTCTGTAGTTCCCCCTTCCACCCCATCACCTTGAAGGAGAGGTGATGGGCATCGTGCAAAGGCCCCTGGACCCAGTCCCTGTGCCCGTTCCTGAGGTACCTTCCAGGGTCTGATACTCTCGAGGCCTCTCTGTGGATGGAGAAGATGTAGGAGGGAAATGACACTAAGGGCCAGGGCTTGCCACATCTCCTTGGATTACTCTGATGGGCTGTGCACCACCCACGGTTCCCACAGCAGGGAAGGAAGCGAGGTTGGGCTGGACACCTATGGAAAAACAAGCAGTGAGAGCACCAACCCCAGTCTGCCCCAGGATCTGTTCCCATCGGGGCACGGCTTCATGTCCAGGCCAGGGAGTGGAGATGGCTCATCATGGAGAAGGCAGTGCCCCAGGGTGTGGAGACGACCTCTCCCCAACTGTCCCTAGGGCATGGCCAACTCTTTGCAGTCTTATTCTTGGCTTCCCAACACCATGTGAGTGTCAAATGGAGGGGCTGAGCCCTGTCCAGGCGCCATGGGTCCAGGAGGGGATGCCATGGACCCTCCTTGGCTGTTTGTGCAAGGCTGGTGGGGGCTGCAGGGGTTCCCCTCCCTGCACTGGGGTTTTCCTCTGGGAGTGCCCAGCCCTGGCTGTCTGGGCAGCACCATCCTGCACCCCGCCACAGCCCAACACTGACATCTTGTGGTGCTGGGGGAAGGCCCCAGCGCGTCTGGTCGGAAGGGAAACCCTCCGAGATGCAGCAGAGGTGGCCTCAGAGATCCCTAGCCCTGCTTGCTGCCCCTTGACGGGTGCATGTCCTCTCCCCGCAGTGTGCGGCTGCGACCTGGCCCAGTCGGGCTTCTTCTTTAAGAACCAGGAGTACATCTGCACCCACGACTACCAGCAGCTCTACGGGACCCGCTGTGACAGCTGCGGGGACTTCATCACCGGAGAGGTCATCTCCGCCCTGGGGAGGACCTACCACCCCAAGTGCTTTGTCTGCAGCACCTGCAGGTGAGCTGAAGCTGTCTCTGAGTGCACGCGACCCCCTGCATAAGCCCCGTGCAGCCCTTGGCCATGCACCAGGGAGAGGGGTGTTCCTTAGCCTGTAGCCTCTCATTCCCCGCTCAGCACTGCAGCAAGCGCCTCCTCTGCGTTTTCTTAGTGGAAACCCTTGGGAAGCAATGAAGTGGCTCCGACCCTTCCCTTTGCAGCCTGGAGACCTGCCTTAATGCCTGCATTGGTCCTCCTGCCCCGGCACACGTTGCACACTCCCTGCCTCCCCTTGCAGCCCTCACCTGCAGCCCCTCCACTCCCCAGCACCGCGGGTCCTGCTGGCCCCTGGGGAAGGAGCTCACGGGCGGCCCCATGCGCTGCGTGGAGAGGGGCGAGCGGCTCACAGCTCCCCACCTTTTCTTTGGCTGCAGGAAGCCGTTCCCCATCGGAGACAAAGTCACATTCAGCGGGAAGGACTGCGTCTGCCAAAACTGCTCCCATTCTCTCATCAGCACCAAACCTATCAAGATCCACGGGCCCAGCCGTAAGTTGACTGCTCTTGTGTTATGTGACGGCTGCAAGGAGAGGGACCGCCTGTCCCTGGAGCAGTGCTCGGGGAGCTGACTGGACGGGCTTTGGGGCCAGCGTGCAGCGCTGCACGGAGCCACGGGCGTTTGCAGAGGTTTTGGAGGAGGAACAGGATAGTCCCATGGCTCCACCCGGCATTGCAGGTCACCGCTGGTTTCGGAAACTCCCTTGGCCTGTTTGTGACCTGGGTGGGTGCTGCCACCCCAGCGGGTGATGTCTGGGGCGGTGGGGAGGTTTTGGAGCTGGGTTTGCTCGGAGGCAGTGCCCAAACGTTGCTTCATGCCCCACTGCACCAACGTCTCTGTCCGAGTGCCAGCCCTGGGACCGCTCGCCTGGCTTTCCCAACGCTGGCATTACTCGCTGCCTCTACAAGCACTGAAAAGGCTTCTTGCACTCACCCCCTTGTGCTGATGAACCTAAGTTAAAACTCAGGACAGGCTCTTTTGGGTGGATTTGGCCTTGATTTTGACCCCAGGTTGTTCCTTGGGATACCCTCTCTTCATGCTATTCCCCTCTCATGGAGCTTTGCTCGCCCAGTCTTGCCTTGCTGCTGGCTCTCTGCCCCAGGCCACTGCGGAGCATCCCGTGGGTGCTGTGCTTGGGGGCTGGCAGAGCATCCCTGGGGCATGGAGCTGCTGCAGGCAGGGCTCACTTCAGCCCATGTCCAGAGCAAGGGGACTGCAGCGTTAACAACCATGCTTCGCTGTCTCCCATATGCCCCGTGTTTGCTGCTGTCAGGTCCCAGGGGAGCTGTCTCAGCGCGGTGCATGGGCAGGTGGCAGAAGGCAGGGAGAGCCAGGAGCTGTGCCACGCCGTGGTGCCCAAACGCTGCCACGTCAGCCACGTGGCGAGGCCGGGCGGGGGTCCTTGTGGCTATGGCTCAGCAAGGCTTGGAGCATCCGTGCCTGGAGCTGAGCCCTGCAGCCAGGGCCGGACCCAGCACTGTGGTGTCACCCATGGTCCTTGTCATCTGGTCACTGTGGTGGCACTGGTGGTGGCTCTTTGGATTGAGTTGTGAATTGGTGCTGAAAGGTCCCTGGGAGCTCCCCAAGCTGCCTCCCCCCAGCTCTCACCATGGCCTTGGTGCAGCTGGAGGATGTGGCAGGGTTTGAATGAGCCCCAGCCCGAGGACGGGGTTTCCCCATCTCACTCCATCAGGACCCCGAGCTGCCAGAGCCAGGCTGCGGCCAGCCCCCAGCACCCCGCTGTCTCCCATAGCAGGGCCAGGGCAGCGGGCAGGGGAAGGGCAGCCACACGCTCTGCCCTTGCCTGCCTTCCTCCCCCTTCCCACCAGCGCTCCTCCCTGGCTGCAGAGCGGGGTTACCTGAGGGCACCATGCTTTATTCATAGGCAGCTGCAGGCAGCAGCCAGATGAAGCCTGCTGCCCGCATGTGCCCCTTGCGGCACAGGTGCCCCGGCAGTGCCACCCAGACAGGGTGGCAGGGGAGGTTTGCCTGCTGGAGCCCACACTGGTGCACTCTGCGGGGAGGACATCCCTAGAAGAAGGATGCTGAGCCTCTCCCTGCAGCCCCAGCCCTGCCAGCAACAAATAAAACAGCAGCACTTGTGTGACAGAGGGAATGGGCTCAGTGGAAAAGCCTGCCTGCGCGGTGCTGCTGCACCTCTGTGGTGCCGCGGCAGGGAGGGAGTTAAGGAGAAACCCCATCCAGGCAAACCTGCTGCCCAGGGGGAGGAGAGGACAAGGAGGAGTCAAGGTCAGGGGTCCGAGGCCCATGTGCTTCCTGCTCCCAGCCTTGATGAGAGCCAGGGGAAGCGGGGAAGGAAGGGAGTCTCGTAAATACTGCAGCGGGGCCGGACGCGGCTGCCGGAGAGCACAGCCCTTCCTCTGCTGCGCTCGCTGCCGGACACTTCCCACCGCTCCCGCCCCAGAGGGGAGCCCCCAGGGACCTGCCAGGGCAGCACGGCCCCCCCAGCCCATGCACTTGCCCGGGTTTGAGCTCACCACCCGGCAGGGAGACGCGGCTCTGGCTGTGGTGGGTGCTTGGCCAGCGTGGCTGGGTGCCAGCGGTTCCTCAGAGGTCCCAGCTCCAGCAGGAGGCTTTCCTCCTGTCTCCTTTGCTGGGAACAAGCAGAGGTGGCGTATTCCTGTAAAGAAATTATTCCCCATAAATGATCCCGAAGGGGCTGCCCCTGGAGTGGTCTCAGGAGCAGGGTTTTTATAACAGCAGCATCCCCTTTGGGGCAGGGCTTCCTCTGAGTGCGAGGGGTGCACCGGCTTAAACAGCGCGGGGGCCTCGACATGGGCCAGCAGATGCGTGTGTCCCTGCCACTCTGCCGAGCCCCTGCCGCGGAGCTGCGGTGGTCCCATGTGCTCCCCCCATCTTCTGTCCCCCCAGACTGCGCAGGCTGCAAGGAGGAGATCAAGCAAGGCCAGTCCCTCCTGGCCCTGGAGAAGCAGTGGCACGTCAGCTGCTTCAAGTGCCAAACGTGCGGGATCATCCTCACCGGCGAGTACATCAGCAAGTGAGTGCTGCCGTGGTGGCGGCAGGCTTGGCCGTGCCGGCCATTGCTGGGCTGCACCCCCGGGGCTGGGGCTGCAGCGAGGGGGGGCCCAGCCTGGCTCACCCCCTGCTCACCCCCTTCTCCTCCCTCTCCCAAAGGGATGGCGTCCCATATTGCGAGTCCGACTACCATGCCCAGTTCGGCATCAAGTGCGAGACCTGTGACCGGTACATCAGCGGCAGGGTCCTGGAGGTGAGTCCTGGGGCTGTGGCCACCCCGTCCCGGTCTGTAATAGGGACCATGTGCGTCCCGCCCCGAGGTGCATGCCTTGGGGAGGCGTGGGAGTTTCATCATCCTGCACCATTGTCATGCCACCCTCTCGGGTCTCTCGGGGCCACGGCTCTTCCTGTGGTGGGTGAGTGAAGACAGTCTGACCGCCTTCTCTGAACCCCCCGCTCTGGAGGGAGGGAGTGGGGAAGGAGCAACGCCACCCTGCAGACCTTTGGAGAGGAGGCTTGGGTACTGGAGCTCCAGAAGCAGCCAGAGCACGCGGTGGCCTGGGTGTGCTGGGACGTGTCCAGAGCCCAAGATGTGGGGACGCTAGCCTTAACCAGCTGCTGCCATGCCCGGCTCTGGAGCATCCCCACCATACTCGCCCCAGCTGCCTTCCGAGCGCATCCCTGTGCAGGCAGCCTGCCTGTTGCCTTGGAAACGCATCCAGCACAGCCGCCTGCTGCGGAGCCTGGGCGAGGGGCTGCAGCACCCTGCCCGCAGGCAGCCGTCCCCACGGCACACCCCTTTGCAGGACAGCCACCGGAGCAGCGGGTCCCCTGCTCTGGGCTAAATCCAGAGGGGGCTGTGCTCATCAGCTTGGTGGCCAGCAGGAGCTGCTCTGGCAGAGCTACCGAGGGATGCAGGGATCCCATGGGGATCCCACAGCAAGGCATGGATGCAGGTAGCAGTGGAGGATGTTTTGGGCGATGGTGGAGCTGCACAGCCAGCAGAGGTGGGGGAGTGGGGTTTGCTGTTGGGGAGGGACAGAGAGGTCCGTCAGGGCTGGTCCTCCCGGCAGCCGGGCAGTCAGGTCCTTCCTGCGGTCCGTGCTCCTGGAGGTGAGGTGTCCTGTCATGCTTTCCGTTTCTACCCCAACATCTGCAGGGGAAAAGAAAAAGCTGGAAATAATGGTCTGGGGGTAAACTAAAGGCTCAGGAGGCAGAAAGATGTCAGAATGAGACCTGTTGTGATTTTTAGACCCCCTGGTGATGCTGTGGGGCTGGGCTGTGGTGGTGTAGACAGGCAGCAATGCTGACAGTGTGCTCAGGCACTCCTGAGACCTTCCCTTCATGGGAAGGGAAGATGTGGGTGGCATTGGCACCCACACCTCTGCCATCTCCAGACAGCAGCGATAGGAAGCTGTATCCCAAAATCAGAGGTCCTGTGGCTCCACAGCGAGCCAGACCGCAGGCGCTGTGGGCTGGAGCGGCAGCGGCTGTGTAGGTCTCCAGCCTGCTGAGGGCTGTTCCAGGGCATCTCCAGCCTCTTTCACTCACAGCCTACCAAGAAATGGTCACCTGCTGGCTGGGCTGGCCTGAAAGCACCCAGCCTGGCCAGGGAACCTCTCCTGGAGCTGGATGCCAGGAGTCTTCTGGCATCTTCCCCCTCTTCAGGGAGCTGCCTCTGCCTGGGAAGGCTTTCTGCTGACTCCAGGCTTCGGCAGCAGTCCTGGCGCTGGCTGCTGTGAGTGTGAGCTCAGCGCTGCAGTGGCTGCCGTGGGCCAGCTGCCCATCGCGGGGCCACTTGATTAGCAAACATCCGAGCAGAGCAGGGTGAAGCCAGAGGGTCCCCTGAGGACGAATCCCTGCTGGGCTCCCCTGGGCAGTCTGGTCCCCAATAACCCCCTGCCAGGACAGGAGCATCCTCAGCCACCCCTGCAGGGCAAACAGGCTGGGCGTTGCATGGTGTGGGATGCTCAGCCTGAGGGTGAGTGAGAGAAGCCAGAGGGGACCTGGGACCCCTGCCCCGAGGTCGGAGGCTGTGCTGCCAACCTGGCCAGCACCCTCGGGAACTGCTGCCTCCTCACTGCACCGCTCTCAGGGTTTTCCTCACTTGGCGCAACCACAGCGAAGTCAGGATGAGCGTAGGACGTTCCCGCTGCTGCGTGTCTGAGGGGACGGACAGAGAGCAGCTCTGCCAGGCATGACAGGCGTGCAGGTGGTGGCAGCCTGCCTGCAAGCTGGAGACGGCCCCGGGGCGGTGGCAAGGGGCAGCCTTCCCCGCTCTCCCTCCCCTCCATCTCCCCCAGCTGTTCTCCCAGCATTAGCTCTGCATTCCCTCCCGCTTTGTCCTCCGCCTCTTCCCTGTGCCCTCTGTTCCAGGCTCTGCTCCCAGCGTCAGCGCTCCCTGGCTGGCGTGGCCGGCCAGCTCTGCCGGGCCGTGGGAAGGTGCTGCCTGAATTCCACGAGATGCTCCGAACGCCCATCCTCTTGCAGTAGCACCTTGCCTGCCGCACCCGCGCTGGGCATGGGAGCCCTCCTTGCACAACGAGAGTCCGGCAGGCTGGAAGTAATGATGGGCCTCGGCGCCGGGGTTCCCGTGGGCAGAGCTGAGGTGCCACCTCCTCGCAGGCACTGTCACGGTGCTGAGAGGAGCACAGGGGGGGCTGTGCCAGGCAAGGACATCGGAGCACCCCTTGCCTCCTCGCGGCCAGGGCTCAGCCTGGGCTCCACACCCTCCCTGGGTACGTGGCTGCTCGCAGTATTGAATGATCTCCTGTAAAACCAGAGGCTTTAATTGTCTTCTCCAGCAGAGCGCGAAATGGAAAGGGCGCCTTTAAATAATTTTAGGCCTTAAGGAGCTTTCTTGTGCTATCCCGGCAGCCTCCAGGCTTTCCCAACCGCTCCGAGCTGTGCAGCCAGGCTTGGATGATTAATGAGTCTTTAAGGGACTGCAAGTGATAATGAGCAGGTCTCTTCCCTCGCAGCCTCTACCAGCCTTTTACGAGCTGTAATTTTAACCAATGTCAAAGGAGCGAGGTGTGTGCGCAGTTTGGAGAGTCGCTCCTCAAGGGGGAGCGGTGGCGTTGAGGAGTTGGGTGTTTTTGGAGAAGGTCTGCGTTGAAATGAAAGTCGGGACTGAGCTGATACGTGCCCCCGGGGAGCAGCCAGCCTCGCCACGTCTGCGCCCCCAGATCTGCCAAGCGTCCCCTTCCAGGATGGCCTGACCTGTGCCAGCAGCCACAGTCTAGATAGGAAGAGATTTTTTTTTTTTTCCCCTTACTGTCAGCACACCAAGCCATTGGGGGTACTAAGAGGGTCCGAGAGCACCAAACCCATCCCAGATTCAGAGGACTGGGGGAGGCAGCACATCAGGGCCCCACGTCCCCACCATTAGCTGTCTCTAGCCAGCTGGAAATACAAGTGAGGGGAACTGCAGGCACGGTAGCCCCAAGTGTTTAGGAGCTGGGCGTAGGCTGAGTTGTTTTTCATCTCTTTTCCTTGTGTTTACAGCCGTCTCCTCCGATTGACACAGCTCAGCGTGCCTGTCGTGCGTGCGCAGTGCTGGCTGGTGGGTGCTGGCACGGTGCTGCGGCGGGCAGCTGCCCAGGCTGGGCTTTGTGCACAGGGGCTTGGGCAGAGCAGGAGGAACTGGCCATCCTTAGGGAGCCTCTGCCTTGGCGGGGCTGTTGGGTCACCTCCCTGGAGCAATGGGCGTGAGACTCAATGAGCCCACTGGCACGATGTCGATGACGCCAGGGGGTTCTAGACAAGGCTTTTAGGGGTAGAATTGGTTTAGGATCTGCATAGCCTGGAACCAGCTGGGGCGTTTGCTCAGGCTGGCAAAGCTTTCAACGCAAGCCCTTGCCATGGAGCGCTGCGGGGGGGCCGGGGCTCAGGGCCGCTGCTTGCTGGGGCTGCCGCAGGGACCTCCCGTCCCACCGGAGAGCCTGCGGGACTGGGACTGGGGCCTTCCTTGCCGCTCGCCTGTGTTCACGGTGTGTCTGAGTCTGCAGCCCTCCCACCGGGGACTTCCCTGCCACGTTGTCAAGCAGGTTTTCCTGTTGATCCTCCCTGTTTCAAACCGGCTCCAGCCCCCTCTGTCGTAACCCTCCCCTTTGTCAGCCAGAGCCTGGTCTTCCTTCTGCTGCCTTAAACCATCCTTCCTCTGCTCTCGGACTGTTCTGGGAGAAAAGCGTCCGCTGGGGTCGAGCTCTAACAGCGCAGCCCAGGCTCCTGCCCCCAGCCAGCTCCTGCCTCCCAGCTCCCGGCCCAGAAAACGAGCCTGTAATTGAAATGTTAGCAGACACGTTGAGTGGAAACAAACTACCAATTAAAGCTATTATCCCTGTCAAAGAGCAAAGGGAGCAGCTCAGCTGCTGCTCAGCTGGGAAATAGCATGTCGCTAACTGAAGTTTGGGCACGGCTTCACAGAAGGAGAAAAGTTTCTTTAGGGAGAGGGAGCAGGGCTGGCAATGGTAGCCAGCGGGGATCCTCAGCGAGAGGAAGCCTGTGCTTTGCGACGTTTATCTTTGGGGCCCTTCTCCCTTTACTGCTTCCCTGCTGTGATGTCCGGGGCCAAACTGGCTGTTCCTGTTCACATCTGTAGAGGGAAGGAGCTGGTGCAAAGCATGGCTGCTGGGCTGAGCGTTACTGCAGGGGGCCACAGTTATTTCCAGAGTCCAAGGACAATTTGTTAGGGGTGAGGTTTATAGGGGTACCTTGTTTGGCATCTCCTGGCTCTGCTTTCCCGTGTGTTGGACAGTTCAAGGAGAGCAGAAGGGTCCCAGTCCGGCTCATAGTCCTGCAGAAGCATTAGCGATGAAGCTGTCTCTGGTTTTCTCTGTACGCTGCAGTGGTCTCCGAGGCCACTCTGAGCAGGTTGGCCACATTCACCTCGTCATTGCCTGCAGCAGAGAGGGCGGCCGGGGGAGCGAGCAGGTCGCCATGTCCTGCCTTGCTCAGGGGCCCCTCTTGTCTGCTCGCCCGTGCAGGCAGGAGGGAAGCACTACCACCCCACCTGCGCCAGATGTGTCCGCTGCCACCAGATGTTCACGGAAGGAGAGGAGATGTACCTCACAGGTAGGGATCCGCTGCGGCGAGGAGGGGCTCCCCTGCCCCACGTTGGGGCACGGACCCGAGCGGGGCACACCAGCGTGGCTGTGTGGAGGCATGCTGGCTGCGGGGGCACTCGGGGCTCAGGTCCTTATGGCGAACAAAGCCAAAAGGGTCTCCCTGCACAGCAGAGTCCCAGTGCCCACCAGCAATGCCAGAGACCCCTCTCCACTGCTCGCCAGCCCTTGCACTCTTCCTGGGCCGTGCAGCAATCATTTCTCTCCATGAAACCCTCCCTGCTGCTCAGCTGGAGGACGCTTTGTTCCTCATTGGCAGCTTTTTGCTCCCCATGGGTCTCCTGGCACAGCTGGGGAGTGCTGCCAGGCACGCCTGGATGCGTCCCTGGCCTGCACCCAGCGAATGGAGGCTGGGATGGGTGCAGGGTGACCGGCTCCATGCTCTCCCCAGCCCCAGGGGAGGTGGCCCAGGACACCTTCCCCGCCGCCCCCAACTCCCCCCGTCCAGGTTATGCCGTGAGCAGCACTGGAGGGGTAAGGCTTTCGCTTGGCACAGCCAGATGGTTTGGGTTTGGCAAGGAGTTCACCCCTGCCTGGAGCTGCCTTAGGGGCTATTTCCAGAGCAGAGGGAGGGTTTGTTTTCTCTTAGTAACCTGTGCTTGCCTGTCACCCTGAGTCACTAATGACCCCGTGGTTGGCAAGGTGGGAACTGTGCACTGAGAGAGCTGGAGCGGGGGTCCCAGCAAGGCCCTGGCGCAGGCAGCAGGATGGTTGTGCTCAGCACCCATCCCGGGGCACGCCTGGGCGAAGCTCAGCGGCTTTGCTGGTTCCAGCCCAGAGAGTGTGCAAGGGGCTGTGGGTGCCCCGGGCGTGGTGTGACCCCAAGTGTAACCAGCCGGAGCTGCCCGGCTGAGCGCTGGTTGGGCTGCACCAAAAACACACCTGGCTTTGCTGTCACAATTTAGTAGTGTTGGCCACTACATCTTGGTGCTTGGGAGCCATTTAGTTTCTTAGTACAGACACCCAGTCCCCACTGCCCTGCCTTCCCAGCGGGCACGTGCCTGTGGCCATGCTGTAGTGGAGAAGGCACCCAGGAAAGGCGGTGGGACCCAGCAGGTGACCCCCCCTCCGCATCCTTGGGGCTCACCGCCTCCCTCCTGCTCTGCTCCCCATGGAGAGACTCCGGTTCCTACCTCCTGCCCCTGCAGGGCCCCCAGGAGCTGCCCGCCGGCACACAGGGGCTGCACTCCTGTAACACCGGTTGCTCAGTGGAGCTGCTGCTGGGGAGAGCACTGCCACGTCCCCCCGGGGGACTGCGGGCTGCGGGTCAGCGCTGGAGGCAGCGGGGGCAGGATGGGACTCCCCCATGGCAGGGGGAGCTGGACACCCTACGAGCGGGGGTGGGCTGTGCGTGGAGCTGAAACACTTTCCCTTGGCTGCGTTGCAGGCTCTGAAGTGTGGCACCCCATCTGCAAGCAGGCAGCCAGAGCAGAGAAGAAGCTAAAGGTAGGCAGCAGGGTGAGGGGCACCTCCGAGAGGTGGCATGTCCTGGGTGATGTCGCCCCCGAGTCCCTGCTGGAGGGGAACTGTTGTGGCAGTGTCCAAGCCCAGGGTGGTGTCCTGGGGCTGGCAGGGACTCTGTCCCCGCTGCCCAGAGGATGGCGGGTGGCCGTGGCCGAGGCTGTTAGTGGGGACCTGCCTCCTGGCTGGCACCCGCCCGCGCCACAGCCGGGGAGGGGGCACAGCAGTCCCCGCACCAGCCCCCGCACCCCTGGAGCTGTTGCTCCCTCTCTGCGCCCGGCGGGCCGTGGGGACAGCTGCCCGCTGGGTCTTGCCAGGCCGCTCGCCTGACTCCGGATCTGGCCCCAAGAGAGGCCAGGGCGCAAAGCTGGATGGCAGGGCAGCCTGCAACAGCCGTGGGCACCAGCAGCAAGCAGATGAAAGGGCAAAGGAACTGGACCTTGAGTGAAATTCAGCCCCAAAACCAACGATTTGCTTGCTGCGCCCAGCACTGTGCCCACTCAGGGGTCCCTCCTCGCTGTGCTCTCACCTGTCCTCTGCTTTTCTGCCTCCGCAGCACAGAAGGACATCAGAAACCTCCATCTCACCCCCCGGTTCCAGCATTGGCTCCCCGAACCGTGTCATCTGCGTAAGTACAGCTCTGCCCCTCGTCCATGCAGGGCAGGACGGATGCTCCGGCCCCAGGGAAGGGAGCAGCAGTTCCCGGTGCTGCTCTGCAGTGTGAGGCATCCCCCAGGGACAAGCCCAGCATTTGGGGACAGCACAGACAAGCTGTGCCCCCTCGCCCCAGCGGCATGCCGTGCCACCAGTGCTGTTGGCACAGACCAGGAGTGCTCGGGGGGCACAGTCCCACGCTCCCAGCTCCTCTGCCCCTTCCTGCTGCTGCCTCTTCGGCATCGCCTCTTACTTCTGCTGCTGCTGGGGTGACGGTGGGCTCTGTCTGCTCTGTGCTGGCTCCACACTGGGCGCTCCAGCTGCCTCTTCCTTCTCTCCTCCTCTTCCTTTCCGTCTCTCTGTCTCTGTCTCTCCCTCTCCCTAGGCTAAAGTGGATAATGAGATCCTTAATTACAAAGACCTGGCAGCTCTTCCCAAGATTAAAGCCATCTATGAAGTGCAGCGTCCTGACCTCATTTCCTACGAGCCCTATCACAGATACACGTCGGATGAGACGCTGGAGAGATATAGCTATGGGGAGGTACTGAGTCTCGATATGCCCAACGCCGGGCTGCGCAGGGAGCTGCAGCCCGATTTGGGGCAATGGGGAAAACTGCATGTGGGTTCACTCACTCCCGTGGGAATACTGCAGGGAGGCAGGAGTGGGGGTAAGACCTCTCCCGAAGGCTCCCCATCGCTGGGAAGAGGGCCTGGGCTGGAAGGGAAACCTTGTTGCTGCTGCTGTAGAGCAAGAAAGAAACCAGTGACCTTATCAGCTGATGGCAGCGCCCTGCCCACGCTGTGCCACAGACCCGACGTGCAGGGACAGAGTGCTGCATGCGAGGAGCCGTCACCCTCGGGAGAGACGTGGCAGGGAGCTCACCCATCTCAGCCTCTGGGGTGGAGGGACAGATGGCCAGCAGGCTCAGCCCAAAGCCTGGCCCCCGGCAGGCAATCCTCCTGGCCACCCAGCCCGGCAATCCTCCTGGCCACCCAGCCCCAGCATGGCGTCTCTGCAGCACAGCAGGGCTGCCCCTCTTGGGTGCTGGCCCCGCAGCCAGGGGAAGGGGGCTTGGTCAGGGCATTTTTGCGAGCATGTGCTGAGATGATGCCCAAGCAGCACGTGGCATGGGACTGCCCTGCCCCGCTCCCCCAGGCAGGCTGGGCCTGCTGGATGATTTCAGTAAGTCCATGGAAGAAGAGGGTCTGAGCAGCTCACGCAGAGATGGGGGACCTGAGGTGGTCCTGGAAGAGGACTTTGTAATGGCCAGTGGCAGCTTCTCTTACAGCTCCAGTCCCAAGGCTTGTCACAAGCCTGGTTTCCTCCAGCCCACCCGGCAATGGTGCAGGCAGCATGGCCGTGGCCAGCAGCCGCCTTCCCCCCTTGCAGCCGCTCCACCGAGGTGTCTGAGAAGAGGTTCAGGCTGCCGATTCAGGAGGTGCCATCCTCACGCCAGCTCCCCTCCTGGCCAGGGGCTCCCTGCCCAGCCTCCTGCCACAGTTCGGCTCCGACTGTGCCACCAGCCGCCCTCGCTGCCCGGCAGCTGGGATGAGGCTGTAACATGGGGAAAACGAGCTGCTGTGGGACCCCAGTCTGTCACTGCTGCCCTTAACCATGTGCTGTCTCTCTCTCTCTCTCTCTCCCCTTTGCCTCCTGCTGCCTCCAGTCCCTGGGGACCCTCTCCCCGTACTCGCAGGTAATGCCCCAGTGGGCACCGGGGGTCTGTAACCTGCCACCGCTGCAGGGCATCCTTCTGCCCAGGGACCGCTGGGGCTCTGCTGAATGTCCCCCCTGCCTGGGTGCTGCCCCGAGGTGGGGGGAGATGGGGGACCCTGTCCAGGAGGGTCCTGTCCTTCAGGCCCTGGGGAGAGCAGCGGTCAAGCCTTCCCTGGCAGAGTGGAGCCAGGGTGCAGCTTCTGCCCCGTGGAGGGGGACACCAGCAATTGGGAACAAGCTCAAGGGAAGGGGACGATCTCCAGGCAAGGGGGTGAAAGCCTCTGGCCAGACACTGTCACCTGGTCCCAAACCCTGGGCTTTGCTGCCTGCGCTTTGGCAGCAGGGAGGCAGAGCAGCCTCCTGGGGACCCCCTCCAGCCACAGAGGACGCGCACGCTGCCCGGCATGTCACGCCGCAGAGCGTGCACCCTCCCGGGCTGCCACAAGCACAGGGACCCCCGTCCGTGGGACACCTCCCCGCAGGGCTGCCGAGGCCCTGACCTGCCTTGGCCCTCGTCCTGCCAGCCCTAACCCCGCTTCTCTCCACGCCTTTCCCCATCCCCAGGACATCTACGAGAGCTTTGACACACGGCAGAGGCGAGCCTCCAGCCCTGGCTACATTGACTCCCCCACCTATGGCCGCCAGGGCATGTCCCCCACCATCCCGAGGTCCCCCCACCATTTCTACCGCTCAGGTGAGGATTTCAGCTGCAACCCCAGGCTGGGCTAAGCTCAGACTCCCAAGTGGAGCAGGGATCAGCAAACTGTCCCCTGTTTCTCCCAGGGGACCTCAGTGGTCCCTCCTCTGGCAAGCAGGCAGGAGGCCTGGGGGGGGGCCGTGGGGGGCTGACAGCAGCTGGAGCTGTGGGGCAGTGACCAGCTCTGCTGTGTGCATCGTCCGGGTCCCCTGACTCTTGTCTTGTGAGCAGTGAGGAGAGGCCATGGGGTCTTTGTCCTGGGGCTCATGGGGGATGGGGTGGGGAGAGAGATGACCCCCAGGTCCAGTGAACACCCCTCAGCTGGCTTGGTGGCTCTGGAAGGGGCGTGCGTGAGCGTGCATGAGAGTGCACACACACATGCACACCCTGGAGTGCGCTGGGGGGGAAGCAGAGTGTGTCTGTGCCATGTCTCCTGTCCTTCGGAGACAGGGAGGAACGACTGGGAAAGTCTGAGGTCAGTAATTCCGGAGGTCCCACATTCCCCAAGCTGCCTGAACGCTGCACCACCAAGGGCCTGTCACTCTTTGCCTCTGCAGCACGCTCAGCTTTCCTCTCACCAGCAGCAGGGCAACCTGCTGCCCTGTAACAGCACCCGCACGTGGGGTTTCCGCTGCATCCCGCCTTCCCCCGGCGATGCGGGAAATCTTCCTCTGCTCCATCACGCCCCATCCTGGACCACGGCCTGGCGCACGTCCCCGCCACCCCCACCACGTGGGTCGCCCCCAGCTCTTCTAACACCGCTGCATTTAACACCCGTTTTCTTCTGCCTCTTGTTCTCTCTCTCGGTCACTTATGGCTGCTTCTGCTCGGCACCGCGTAGGCACCGAGAGCGGGCGCAGCTCCCCCTACTATAGCCAGTTAGATGTGAGGTCCTCCACTCCAACCTCATACCAAGCGCCCAAGCATTTCCACATCCCAGGTAGGCTCTGGAGCACCCCGGTCCCCGGGGAAGCGCCGTGTCTGTGGCATGCCCGCATGTGCCGTCCCCCCTGTGTCGCATGCCTAGCTCCACCGCCTGCCTAGAGCCAGCTGGCAGCAGGATCTACCCCTGGTAGAGGCCATCCATAAACAGGACCTGCAGCTTGAGCCCTCCTCCCTCCCCATCACCACCTGGACGTCCCAGAGCCGCCTGGAGTCTGCTTGATCCTTGCAACATCCCTCTTCTTCCTCCTCCCCGACCTTCCTCCACCCCACACACAAAGACGAGTCCCCTGCGGAGAGCCTGTCCCCTCCCCTGCCTCCCCCCCAGGATCACGAGCCGAAGCGTGTCTGCCGGAGGCCTTTCCGCACCCAGCCGCTGCAGATGACTATTTTATACTCCCCCTAGGGCCCGCCGCTCCCTCCCCCCAGAGTCTTCTGGGCTTGCCAGATGCCTGCTCCCCTTCTGCAGGGATTGCAGGGGGCCACCAGGTAAGGGCCACCACCCGCTCCCGGCCACGCAGAGCCCACGGCCCCCCCCCCCCACAAAGACGAGCCCCCGGGGGAGAGCCTGCCCCCCCCCCTGCCTCCCCCCCAGGATCACGAGCCGAAGCGTGTCTGCCGGAGGCCTTTCCGCACCCAGCCGCTACAGATGACTATTTTATACTCCCCCTAGGGCCCGCCGCTCCCTCCCCCCAGAGTCTTCTGGGCTTGCCAGATGCCTGCTCCCCTTCTGCAGGGATTGCAGGGGGCCACCAGGTAAGGGCCACCACCCGCTCCCGGCCACGCAGAGCCCACGGGGACGGGGACGGAGCGGGCAGAAGGGGAGAGTGGGGAGGGAAGCAGGCAGAGCTGCCCGTCCATCCTTTAGCATGCATAGGGGGGCCAGAGCCCCAGACCACCCTGCTGAGCTGTAGGCATCTCCCGCTGCCCTTGTCCTCCTCCAAAGCGTGGAACCTTCCACAACGTGCAGCTGATGCCCCGGCACAGCAGCATGAGGACACCCAGAGGCTCCCCGCCATGGCCCCCTGCTCCCAATCCCATCCCTGCCAGGGTTCGGCCCCGCTGCCTGCCCTGCCCTGCCCTCCCGCTGACGGTCGGTGGTTTATGGATGGCCCCCTCCCTGCTCCGCCAGCTCTGCTGCCTGGCCCCTGCACGGGGGCCGTAGCTCTCAGTGCCAGGCTCCAGCTTGCTTTCCCTCCCAGCTCGCTCTTTGCTCTCTCTGCTGTGGAAAGAGGCTTTGGCTGATGTTGTTTTGCCCCCAGGTAGATTGCAGGTGGTTCTTCCAGGCACTGGCACCCCCAGGAAACCGCACCAGCGTGAGCCATGGTGCATTGCTGCCGGCTGGCAGGGGTGGCCGGTGGTTCCTGGCTGTGCCGCTCCCTCCTGGGGCCGGCAGCGCCCGCCGCCCCGCGGTGCATGCTGACGCTGGGGCGCTCACTGCATGTCCTCTGTGCGAACCGCTGCCGAGGGCAGCCCCGGGACCGCGCTCCTGCTGCCCATCCGGGAGCCTGCCTGGCCCTGGCCTGGCACTGCACTCCCGTGGGACGCGCGGACCCAGAGGTGGCTGCGTGATGGAAATGTGGCGTGGGGATAGCATCTCCTGCAGGACCTCTGCCCTGTCCGCTCTCAGCACGCCCAGGCTGACCTCCCCTTCCTTCTTTCCTCCTTTCTTCCCTTTCTTTCTTTCTTCTGCCACCAGCTGCCGGCGAGAGTAACATCTACCGGAAACCCCCCATCTATAAGCGACACGGTATGGTCTGCCGGCTGCGCCCCGGGCTCCGCTCCGCGGGGGAGCGGGGCAGGGGACCAGCGCGGGGCTTGGGCTGGCTGAGTCGCGATTAGGGGCAGGGCGGGAGATGGGAGCAGGCATCATGGTGAGATGTTGGGGCGCTGGGCTTTGGTGGGCTGATGCTCCTGCTTCCCCTCCATGCAGCAGAGTGCAGGGTTCAGTGCAAGTAAAGGGCAGCTTTGAACCGCATCCCTGTTGCGAGGAATGGAGGCGAGGACTGGCAGAGGCCCTGGGGACAGGGACGGCTGTGGGAGGGGGAACGAGGCCACGAGGCGGTGGCAGAGGGGACGAGGGTGGCCCTTGCTGGCTGATGCCGGGAGCCAGAGCGGCCTCAGGAAAGGGATGAAGAAGGTAATTTGCAGTTTCAGGTGGAACCCTGGAGAAATACCACAGCCCATCCTGGATGGATGCTCCAGGGTGAAGCAGGCCTGGGGGATGTTGAGGAGGGTGGGGAGGAAGCACAGGGGTGTTAGATGTCTTTCAGTGGGGCTGGCTTGCACTGTCCCTGCTTGCTTCTGCGTGCAGAGGGACAGCAGCTCCCCCCGAGCAGTAACTGTGTCTCCTCTCTCTCCCTGGGCTCTCCCTTCCCACCTGCCCAACTCCCGCCGCCCCGCCGCTGGCTGCACCCACTGCTGTAAGTAGCTGCCGTTGGTAGGGTCCCCTGCGCCTGTTGGAGGTGGTGGGATGGCTCTGCCACGCAGCCTGTCCTTGGTGCTCCTTCCCCCGCGAGTCTCCTGGCCCCTGGGGGAAAGGAGCAGGGCTCACCCTCGGATCTCTCACGTGTGCCGCCGAGGCTCAGTCCCCAGCCTGAGCAGAGCTCTGTGTGTGGCCCTGCCATGGGGGGCCGAGCCCCTGCCAGAGCCGGAGCTGCTGGGGTCACCCCTCCGCTCCCCCGCCACTGCACAGCCTGCTGCCGCCTTCCCCTGGCAGGAACCCGCCGAGGGCCCTTTCCCCGCGGGGACTGAGCCTTCCCCCATCCCCTCCCGCCTGTGCGGTTACAGCCCTCCGGGTGACGGGACAGCCTGGGGCACAGGGGCGCGGGGAGGTGGGTGGCACTGCTGGGGCTGGGGCTGGGGTGAGCACTACGCAGGAGCCAGAGCTTGTCGTGGTGCTGTGGGCTATGAGCCCTTCGGGTCCCTTCCCAGCCATGTCAGCGACACCCCTCTGCTTGTCACCGTCCCCACCGTCTGCCTCTGCACCCTTGTCTCCAGGAGGTGTCAGCAGCTTGAAAACTGATTATTCCCAGCTCTGCTCCGTGCTGCCCCGGACATGAATTGCTGGTGGCCACTGGGGAGAGGGGAGGGAAGAGGCTTCGCCTTCGGCCCAGGGTGGATCTTTGCAAGTCCTGCCGGCGGGGACTTGGACTCAGGGTCCTCGTTACAGCTCTGCCTGCTCCTTTTGCAGACAACCTCTCTGCAGCCACAAAAAGCAAAACCAGCGAAGACATCGCACAGTCATCCAAGTATAGCCCTGCCTACTCCCCAGACCCATACTACCACTCCGAGTCGGAGTACTGGTCCTTCCAAGGCTCCCCCAAAGGTAACAGCCCCCATTGGGCTGGGGGAAAGGGAAACCCATTCCTGCCCCCAAACCCAGCCATTCCCTGGGAGGGGACACCCCCCCCCCAAGTTGGATCTGGACCTGAAGGTGGGGTTGGGCCGAGATACCTGCCAAAGTGACCCCAAAATCCTAGCAGCCCTTGGGACTCAGCTGTCCCCATGCAGCTGGGGACTGTCTCCTCCCTGCCTGCCTCCATCTCCGTCCCCATCTGACCACCCCACGTGTCTCCCTGCAGCCCCCCGGGCCCGGAGGTTCTCGTCGGGAGGCGAGGAGGACGGGTACGACCGGGGGATGCACAAGGTGAGTGATGTCCCTGCCTGCAGCCTGGCCAAGCTGCCCCCGCGGCAGCTGGCTTTGGGGACCAGGCCACCACCATCCCTGCTGCCCTCTGCCATCTCTCCCCCCTTGGCCACCCCCAGCACGGGGTCTGAAGGGGGAGGAGCGCACCCCCTTGCCGAGGCACCCCCCACCCCCAGCACCTCATCCCCAGGGATGGGAGAGCAGATGGGAGATGCCGAGCCCATGCCGGGAGGTGCTGTGCCTTGCCGCAACGTGCCAGCGGTCAGGGAGGGCCGGGCAGGGAAAGGAGGGGTGCGAAGCAGCTTTCCCCCCTTGCCCAGATCCAGAGCGGCATCGGCAGGCTGATCCTAAGGGAGGAGATGAAGGCTCGGTCCAACTCCTACGCAGACCCCTGGACCCCCCCTCGCAGCTCGGCCAGCAGCAGAGAAGCTCTGCACACAGTTGGCTATGAGGGCTCCCTCAACGGCTGTAAGGACAACCCTGTCTGTCTGTCTGTCCCACCCATCATGGCCCCAGCCCCTGTGGGATGTTTGCTGGGGTGGAGAGGGAAGAACAGGGGACTGGGAAGGGGTGGTGGGAGAGGTGCTGGGCACCACAGTCAGACTTGGGAGGCTCTTTTCCTCCCTGGAGGGCTCCATCTGTTCCCTGTGCCCCGGCTGGGATGGGGCATCTCCCGGTGGGTGTTTGCAGTCTGGCTGGGCAGCCTGCTGAGGTGCCTCACGGGGTGGTTGAAGGGTCCCTTGGGAATCAGCACAGCCCCGCTGGGTTTGCTCTGACCTGTTTTGGGCTGGCTGCGTGCGTACCTCCTCATTAACGGCACGTCTGGGACCTCCTGGCACCCCAGACCCGCTGGCTGGCCCCAGCGTTCCCTTCCTTGCTCTCACTGCACAGCACCCCGGGCACCCAGCCCCTCTCCCCTCGGGGCCGCGGGGGGGCTGAGGGCGTTGGGGAGCCTGGCAGGACGGACGCCCCTGCCCGCTCCGTGCTCTCCTTCCTCATGGCACACCTGCCCTCACGGAGCTGGGGCTGCTCAGAGATGCTCAGGGAGCCCCTCAGCCCCGCTGGGCTCCCGGGACCCCGAGGAGGACGCGCGGGGCTGGCAGCCGGGCGGCTGGGCATGGCGCGGGGCGCTCGGCCCTCCCTGACGCCCGGCTCTGCTCTCCTTGCAGCTCCGCGGACGCACTACCTGGCCGACAGCGGTGAGTGTGTGAGCCTGCAGCCCTCTGCAGCTGGTCCTCCGTGGCTGTGGGGTCCAGAGCCCAAGCTGGAGGAGATGCTGGGACCAGGGAGGGAAGAAGGGGAGAGAAGAAGGAGCCCTTGAAAGGCTGGGTCGGGGTGGAGCTGAACCAGGGCAGAGCTGGTGGCAGCGCCGGGAGGGGACAAGTCAGAGAAACAGAGAGGAGATTGGGCTGCACTGAAGGGTGAGGCGGGAGGGCTGCCGTGGGAAAGGGATTTTGGGGAGAGGAATATCAGCACGGGATGAAGCCAGGCTGGAAATGAGTTGGAGCTGGAAGGAGACAGAGCTGGGTTAATGTGGAGCTGGGTAGCAAGGTGGGAGCACAGGGGCAGGGTGGCCCAGCGGGTGCTCTCCCAGGGCGTGGGGCTCACCCCTGCATTTTCCCTTATGCACCTTGGCTTCTTTGCAGATCCCCTCATTTCTAAGTCGGCCTCCCTTCCCGCCTACAGGAGGAACGGGCTGCACAGGGTAAGCACTCCTGCCTGCACCCTGCTGCTGCCAGGCATCTCTGCACCCTTCATCGTTCTCCCCAGGCTCCTCAAAGCCCCGGTGCTCCCCTTTCATGACTAGGGTGCCCTGCTCCCCCCTACTCTGCACCCCTGCTGTCACTGCTGGTCGGTGCCCATCCAAAATGACCCTTATTGGGGACCAAAGTGCCCTGTCCAGGCACTGCAGGACAGAGGTGCCTGCCCGGAACATCCTGCAGGGCGCGTTTCAGAGGGACGCTGGTGTTGCTTCCCAGCACGAGAGCTTTGCTTCATACCCTGGGGCAGCGCTTGCTGGGGGTCGGGAGAGCTGGTCCTGCCTCCGTGTGACCCGGGCTTCTCACTTCACCTCCTCGTGCCTCAGTTTCCCCACTGCCAGGTGTTGGGAGTGGGTCCTGCTTTGGGGTGGGTGGGTGCCTCCCCCCTGGGGACATGGGAGGTGCCATGCTGAGCATCTGGAGGGGACCCCCTCTTATTCCTCCCTCCCTGTATCCCTCCCGCAGCCTCCCAGTGCCGAGCTTTTCCACTATGACAGCACGAACGCCGTCAACTGGGGGATGCGAGGTAAGGTGCCACGGGGCTGGGGAGCAGCACAGGCAGGGGACCCTGTAGGCACAGAGCCAGATGCCGTGGGGCTGCTTCCCCCGCTGCAGGCAGCTCTGGAAAATGAGGCCCAGGCTGGAGGGAGAAGGGGGGAGACGGGCAGGGGTCCCCGCAGCCCCGGGGGGAGGATCCTGGCAGCAGAGGGGTCAGCGTGGCTCATGTCTCTCTTGTCTCTTCTGTCCCCACAGAGTACAAGGTAAGATGCTCCTGCTCCAAGGAGCGGCTGCCAGCTGGAGGTGCGAGTACCACCCAGAGGGAGTCCCAGAGACATATCCGTGTGTCCCCAGGCCCTTCAGGAGGAAGCTTTGCCCTCTGCCTGCAATGGCCTGCCTTCATCCCCCTTCATCCCGCACCTGACAGCCCTGTCCCGGGACTGTGGGGCTCAGACAGAGGCCTTCCCCTCCTGCCGGGGTCCCAAGCACTTGGCCGAGCAGAATCGTCTCCTGGTTGAGGAACAGAGAAGGGTGGTTGTGCTGGTGGTTCCCTGCTCGCACTCATCCCTGGGTCACTCCTGGTTTTGCAGAGTGAGCAGGCTATTCCAGAGCCACCAAGGCAATTCACGGTGGATTAGGGTCACCCTGAGAGCAAGTCCCCCCTCTGCCTTGTCCTGTCCAAGCCCTGGAGGCAGCTGTGCCACCCAAACCCTGCTAAACACAGCAGGAGGAGCCCCCCTGGAGCCCCCATGGCCTCATGCCCAGGTGTGCCCCAACTGTCCTCTTCTGGCTCCGGAGCTACCCCATGGTCTCCCTGTCCCTGTGCAGATATACCCCTACGAGCTGCTGCTGGTGAAGACGAGGGGGAGGAACCAGCTGCCCAAAGATGTGGACAGGACTCGGTTAGAGGTGAGGAGAGCCTTTTCCACCGGGGACAATCTCCTCAGGGCTCAGAAGGACTCAGTCCCACGAGGTGTCCCCTTAGCCCAGCAGGCAGCGTGGGGCTGTGAGGGGCTCGCGGATGTGTGAGGAGCATCTCCACAGCTCCGCAGGGGCACACGTGTGCCAGCCCACTGTCACGGCGGTCCTGCTGCTCCGCTGGCGGGCAGAGCTGTTCCCCATGCCCGCAGCATGAGCGCGTTCGGCAGGAGCAGGAGGGAGCCGGGTGGCCCCCCTCTCCCGAGCGAGCGCTGCTGGGGGCCGTAGCACCCCATTGCACCCAGCTGGGCAGGGGATGCCATCAGACTCCCTCGCGTGCCCTCCCGCCCCACTGCAGCCGTACGTCCCCCGTGGTGGCCATTGGCCCTGGGTGGTGGCCGCGGTCCCCAGCCCTGGCCCAGCATCCCATCTCTCCCCAGCGCCACCTCTCCCAGGAGGAGTTCTACCAGATCTTTGGCATGACCATCGCCGAGTTTGACCGCCTGGCCCTGTGGAAGAGGAACGAGCTGAAGAAGCAGGCCCGGCTGTTTTAAATGCAGTGCACTATAAATATATACATACCTATAAATATATACATAGAAAGATCTCTATATTGCAGCTCTGTATGATTCTCGGTGCTGTACGTGGCAGAGGCGCCCTCTGCACCCCTGAGAGTGAATTGGAGTCTCGCAGATCATTTTATGCTCTTTGTTTCCTTTTCTTTTCCTGCTCCGTTTCTGCACCGACCCTTGGGTCCTCCCAGGGGCTAAAGCCGCGGGGGCCCCGAAGCACTTGGCGTCTGTCACTGCTGCCCCACGGGGGCTCGGGGGGGATTTCCCTGCTGCAGCCACAGCACCCAGGGCTGGGGGAGAGCGGGGCTGTGGGGTTGGGTGTCCCATCCCCCTCTGCTCAGCTCTCTGTGTTTACTTCTGGGTTGGAAACGGCCCTGGGTACAATTGCAGGAAAGCGGAATCTCGCCATGGGCTCCTTAGTGCCCTCCCTGCTTTTACCATGGCCATGCACGAGGGGCACCTTCAGCCTCACCCTCAGGATCAGAAACGCAGAGCCTGAGGCAGGGGACGAAGACGGGAAGTGGTGGGGGCCTCACGGGGAGCAGGGTGCGGCCCCATGGGGCAAGGGGTGCAAGCCTGAGCCCCGATGCCTCCTGGCTTTCCCTGCAACTCCGGTATTGCTACAGAGCCAGTATTTCCTCCCAAAGTGCCGGAACAGTGGTTTCCAGGCCATCCCAAAACCAAGCCCTTCTTAAATGAAGCAGCCCAAGCCGCCTCCTCCCTTGTACAGCTTCTTGCTGCTCTTCAGGTTTGTCCAGGGCCAGCAAGGCCCGAGAGCGGACAAGCTGCGATGCCACCCCGTCCTGAGCCACCGTGCGTTGGGCCCTGCCCCATGGCTGTGAGCACCCAGCCCTGCGCTCCGGGGTCTCGGCACCCCCGTGAGCAGCGGTAGGAGCGGTCCGGCCGGGAGCTGGGGCAAGGCCAGAGCGGGGGAGCCGGGGGTGCCGGTCCCGCTGACTGCTGGACTTTTCGGGGGGGCTTTCCTGGATTACCCCATCACTGATGCTGGAGTCCCAGATGAATCCCTGTGCAAGCCTCCAGGAATGAAGGCCATTCCCAGGACCGTTGAGCATTCACTGCACTGCAAACTGTTGGGATTTTTTTTTTATTTGCTTTTGCTTATTTTTCCTTATAAACTAATAGGACTATTTCCACACAAACATCTTTCCTGGTGTCTGTGGTGCTCTGGTTTCCTATTTGCTTGTCTGGCACAATTTTCAGGCATACCGCGGGACTGAGCAGTCCCAAACAGGCCAGCGAGCCACGGGGACCTCTGCAAGAGCTGGGTCAGCAGGGTTCCTCCGAGGGGACAGCGAGGGTCGTGCCATGGGCCAGCTCTGCTTCTGCCTGTTCTGGTCCTCTCTGAAACCCTCCTGTCCTGGCGTCTCCCGTCAGGTGGATCAAACGCCCGCCCTGCCATCAGCACCACCACCACCGGGTGCCGAGGCTGCCCAGCTTGTTGCCCAAAAAAGCTGTCACCAGGTTCTTGCGTGAGGCAGGAGAGACGTGCGGGGCCTCTGGCAGGGGGTGCAGGGCGCTCGGGGCAGGAGCTCTCCGTCAGAGCAGCCCCAGCTCCGGGAGATTTGTGCTGGCATGGAAAGGGCTGGGGCCTGAGGTGGAGACGGCAACGTTGCACTGGTAATTGCTCCTGTCTGCTTTAGTGCAGCAGTAAATGAACCAATTGTATTTATAATGATTTCACTCATATAAACTACGGCTCCCTAAATTAAGCTCAACCATGTGTGGCTATGAGAAACTTCCGTCTTCAGCAGCAGTTTCAGTGATAAAGCCTGGAGGATATTATTATTAATAATAATAACACAACAGCAGGCATCTTTTCATTTTCAAAGCATTTTATGGACAGTAACTAACTGTTCCCCACAACTACCTGCACGGCAAAGCCAGGGAAACTGAGGCAGGGCTCAGTGCTCTCTCTTGGAGCCGGGGAAGCCCCTCCAGCCCATGCCGCTCAGGGGCAGCAGACACCCCGTGGGACCCTCGTGGGCTCCCCTTGCCCCGGGGTGTGCAGAGAGCACCCGTCTGCACCCAGCGAGCAGTGGCGTGGTGTTAGCGCCTGCCCTGGAAGCCGTCACTGCCTGAGCCCACTCTCGTTTGGCTGCTTTGCAAGTCCCAGCCACAAAGCAGCCGGAGCCTGGCGGGCAGCGGCAGTGGCCTGCCAGCGCCCCGTGCCTCGACCACAGCCCCAGAGGCGACCCCGCGTTACCAGGGAAAATGGGGCTCGATCCAGAAGGGAGGAACCAGCAGCCACCGGCCAGGCAGGGAGCAGCGCCCGGGCCGAGCGGGGCAGGGCTGGCTCCCGGCGGGGCGCAGGGCGTGCGAGAGGGGGGTCGCCGCCTCCGATCTGCCCTAGGCGAAGGGTGCCCCGAAGGGGGAAGCCCTGGAGGCCAGTTGCTAATGCGCGTCAGTATTTCCATTACTGCTTTCCCAAGTGATAACTGGGTACGTGTGAAACCGAATCACGTTTCTGTCACAGCCTGCTGTCCCCAGAAGAGGGCTCAGCTGCAGCCCTGAGGCCGGGAGAAATTGTCCTGGGGATGCCCAGGGTCCCTGCTGCCAGGTGGGGGACCCTCCCTCGCACACCCCACGACTCCCAAGCCCAGGTCTCCCCTGAGGTCTCTGTTGGGGAGGGACACCGACGGTTGCTTGAGCATCGTGGCCAGGCAGAGGCTGGGCATGTGAGGGACACCAGGCGGGAGCAGATGTGAGGGGGTTTGGGGGAGAGCATGGGTGACGCAGGGAGTGAGGCGGTAAGGGGAGCCGTGCTTGCTCACGGGGTGCGCGTTTGGGTGGGGGAATGAGTTCTGCGTCTTTCCCCAAACTGAAGTTGCCCAAACCAACAACCCCGGTGGACAGAGAGCGGGCAGGCGGAGGTGGCCCACTCTGGACCCTCACCCTTCACGGGGGGGTCTCTGGGTGCTCAGTGCCCGGTGTGGGGCGATGCACGGGGGGGGAGGGGAACCCCGGGACGCAAGGGGGGTGGGGGGAGCTGGGGGACGGGACGGGACGGGACGGGACGGGACGGGACGGGACGCCCCTCTCCCCGCCGTGCCGACCGGGGTGCCCGTCCCGGTCCCAGGGGTCTGGGGGTCGCGCATCCCTTCCCAACCAAACTCACCGGATCGATGTGGGACCCTGTCCCCGCGGTGCCTTTGCCCCCCACCAGCCCTGTGGCAGGGTCAGCTGGGAGACAAACTGGTACCAGTTTCCCTTTGCTGGTCAGATGGGTGAAAAGCCAGCGGCTTGTAAGCAAGCCTGTGGGGTGTAAGCACTTGTTAGGGGAAGTTACGGTCGTAGAAAGGGAGGTGACTGGTGTTTCCAGATGGAGCTGATGGGATCCAGAGAGTCTCCCCAGCTGGGGAAGATGCCGGTGGTCTCGTAAAGCCACGGATGGCCTGATCCCCACCCTGCTGAGAAGCGGCTGCGTTCCCACACGTGTGCGATTCCCGCCTGCAGCTTGTGGCATCGGGCTCACGTAGCTGCTAGGCTTTGATCTGGGATATGAATAAACCTGCTGGGGCTTCGGGCCAACTTTGCAGAGAAGGTCCTGGCTTTCTGCTGGGGCTGGCAGGCCCCTGGGTGGGAGCAGAGGGCGGTTTTCAGAGGGATTGCTGCTTGCTGCTGCAGGATGGTGACATGGTGCTGCACGGGGGTCCTGGCCCTTGGCGGGTCCTTGGAGGTGCGGCAGCAGCACCAGCCAAAAATGATAACGGGACTGGGCCCACGCTGAAGTCCAAGGGCGGTTCGGGCAGCGCTGCATCTGCAGCTCAGGGTCAGCACCAGAAAGATTCGAGGGTCAAGAGTTCCCGTTCCCGATGTAAAATGATGGGGTGGTGTTTCTGCAGTGGAAACACAGTATGAAGAGCTTGACTCTTGGGCTGGAGCTCACGGTGTCGGCACTTGGAGGGCAGTGTCAGTGCCCAGCAGCCCGGGAGGGGACAGGGCTTGTGACAGGGACAGCCTTTCCCCGCGGCCGCGGCTCGCCCTGCCTGCCGGCCAGCCAGGGTGGCTTCGCTGGCTCTGAAGAAAGGTGCTGTTGCGGGGGGGGAGTGTTGTCAAATGACACGAGATGCCAGAGCTGTCCTTCAAGGTCCCAGAGGACCTCACCGACAGGGAGAGGGGAGAGCAGAGGGTCTCGGCTTCCCTGTTCTTTTGCTGTGTGAGCTGGTGGGAGGCTACCCTGTTTGCATCCCAGCCCACCCCAAAAACCAAACCTGGGACCTCACCGCAGGGAAGGGCAGGGGGTGCCTGGCACGCCATGGAAACCATCCTGGAGCATCGTGGAGATGGGCCTGGGCATGGTGCAGCCGGTCCACGAGCCAGCCCTGCCAGGGGAGAGCTGCTCTGCTGTTTTATCCCCCTCGCTGGTGCCTTCTATGGTAGTGGCAGCAGTGCCTGCCTGCTTTGCTTTGAGTGCTTGTAATGAATTGCTGTTGGCACCTGGATGGCTCTTTGCTAATGTAAACCTCCTCCAGACCCTCCGGCTCATCACCCAGAGCCGCTGGATCCCTCTGGGGGCTGTGGCTCACGGAGGGAAAGCGTGGAGGTCTCACCAGGCTCCCTCCCCTACTGCAAGGGGTGCTGGGTCCCGTGGTGGGTAGGAGCCCCTGCCCTGTTCCCAGCCTCTGCCTGCTCTCTGGCAGCCCCTTTCTTTACCTGGAGCTCTGCTCAGCCCCTGACTTGCTCTTGCTTGATGATCCACCAGCTGCTTCATCGCTTTCCGTGCTCCAGCCGAGCCTGCTGCCTTCCCCGGCAGGCTGGGCAGCACTCGGTGCGGGGCTTAGCTCTACACCAGCGCCTAACCCGGGGAATTGGTGCTGTGGGCTGTTTGCGGAGTTGTTTCAGGTTGTGCTGATGGAGAAGTGCATGCGTGTGTGATCGGGAGCTGATCTGTGCCATGAGCCTTTGCTGTAGCAGGACTGTGCTCACACACAGCTTCTCCTCGTTAGTGACTCTTCCCTGACCTTTTGTGCCACCAGAATTTAGGTCCTGCACCAAAGTTATCTGGGGTCTAAATCCAGCAAAGCCGGTGGAGATGTGTCAGGGATAAACTTGGCTCCAGCTCGCCCACAGGAATGGGGAGGCCGCGGGGCTGGTGGGAGGGA